AGTACTACTCATTTCCCAGCTCTCCTAGTACCCCCTTTCCCATACTTCTAATCTACAAGCCTTCCTTCAACTTATTTGAAGTTTCTTAAACTACTGATTTATAGAAAAAGGTGAAATTTATTCATTGTACTTTATTTACATATATGTCCATAGCATTGGTCAAAATTGTTTCTTATTCTTTTTTTTTAATCTTTTTCTTTTTTTTTTTTTTGGTAGTGGGATTTAACACATGGTCACTTAGCCACTGAGGCATATTCCCAAAACATTTTTGTGTTTTACTTTGAGTCAGGGTCTCCCTAAGTGGCTTACTGATTTGCTAAATTGCCAAGGCTGGCTGTGCAATTGTGATCCTCAGCTTCCCAAGCTGCTGAGATTACAGGTGTGCACCACCGGCACCTGGCACACTGGTCAGTTTGATTCCAGCAATTCTAAATTCTCCATTTCTCTTTCCTCTTCCCTGTCCATCAATCCTTCTTGCTCTGCTTTGAGACTTTAAACACAATGTAAACTGATCAATAAAAACAGTTTGTAATCATGTCTGGGTATACTGGAAGTTGAAAATTAGTAACTCAATGTAGCTCTTATAGAAAAGTGAGGGAGAGGGGATCAACTGTAATTGACTCCAGAAATGTGTCCAAACACAACAGTGATTTCTTGACTTTGCAGAAGACTTTAAGCAAGCCAAGGAGTACTCCTTCTACAGGGCACTAGTTTCCCGAGCTCCTCCTGAGCCTATGCTGTAAGTAGTCTCTGAAGGAGCACCCTGGATTCTACAGCAAACAATATGTGTTCTGTTTGACATAGTGCTGTATAAAGCACCAGCTAGTTGACCCAATGCTTTCCAAAATCACTTGGGATATTTGCACTGTCCATTGCAGCCAAAAGTGTTGGGCAAAACCAGATCCTTCTGAGGTATGTCTGGCCTTCAAGCCAAGGTCCTCCCTTATCAGGGAGGCCCCTCTTCAATTTCACTGGTGTAGGGGAATGGCTTTATGGATGATGGTTAATGAATCAAGTAAATTACACACACAGGAGCATGCTATCATAAAAGATGCAAATAAAACTGCAAAGCCTAACTCTACACACACTGTGAATAATCACTTCTGCAGTTTCTAGGGCTTCCTAACACTATATGTGCACTGGAATATTTACCAAAGTGTCTTTGCCCAGGGGCAAATATGTCACTAAGGAAATTCCTATAGGTTTTTGTTTTCCTACGGGAATATTCTCCATGAACTGAGGTTATAAAGTGAGGAGTTCAGAGAAAAGTTCTGTTTCTAACACCTAATACCATCTTACTAGTGTATTCTGGGCT